TTTTCTTATATGAATTATACACCAGAACATATAAGTGTACAACGCATAAACAGTCGTAACTGTGCACGAGAGACAGGAAGTTCCGCCTCAAAAAATTCGATCCTCAGACATGGATCCGGGGCTTGCGAGGTTTGCCCCAAATTGCCGCGAAACTGTTGGACCACTTCCAACTTTTGCCATCCATTACTCTGATGCGATTCAGAAGGTCACGTTCTTGCTCCGTCATTTTTTGCCACCTGGCCTGCTGAACTTTCCCACGCTGCTGCAGCCTTACTGCCGAGGCCCGCACATATGACGAAACTAGCAGTAGAAAGTAAGAATGAAGAAAGGAGGGGTTGCACTAGCAGCAGTTGGCATACATATAGGAAACCCTAATTGGGTTGTACTCGCTATAGAGTACCCCACTGCAGGCTAGACAATTATAACATTCTGACACACCCCCATAGCCAAAGTGGGGTGTAATCAGCACAATGAGCAAGCATAGCAGTAGTTCACAATTATGAGCAAAGCTAGTGGTAGTCACAGCAGGCAAGTGAGGAGGAGGAGGGACTGTGAGAGGAGAGAAGATGGGAGACGACGGTTGAAGCTGCAGACACACGGGCAACAGGAGCGGCTGGCACAGTGGCTACCGGGACAGCGCCCCGGACTACTGGAGTAACTGGCTCACGGGCTACGAGGAGCTACAGGAGCAACGGACCCACGGGCGACAGGCGCAGCAGGCTCTCTGGGCTACCAGGACAGCGCCCCGGACTACAGGTGCTGCGGACGACAAGACGGCAGCCTCCTCTCAGCCTCCTCAAACAGTCCCACCCCCCCTGACACACACCCCCTGCTTCACCCCTAGCTCCACTCCCCCTTCACCCCTTAGTACCACTCCGACGGCTCCAACAGATCCACCCCCCTCAGCGGCAGCTGCAGCACTGGGAGACGGAGGAGGAGGAGGAGCAGGGGACGGCACACAGAAACTGCACCCCCATACCCCCCCACCCCAAACCCTAATTCAGGAGAACGGGCAGCAGCAGGGGTGGGGCGCCGTCAGAAGCACGGGGGACAGCGGGCAGCTCAGGGGAAGAGGAAACAGGGCGCCCACGGGCCTGGCGCAGCCCGTACGAACCGCGCGCGGGCGGCCCGAGGCGCGCCCTGGCCTGGCGCAGCCCGTACGGGCCGCGCGCGGGCCTGGCGCTGCCCGTACGGGCCGCGCGCGGGCCTGGCGCAGCCCGTACGGGCCGCGCGCGGGCCTGGCGCAGCCCGTACGGGCCGCGCGCGGGCCTGGCGCAGCCCGTACGGCCGCGCGCAGGCTGTACGGGCCGCGCGCGGGCCCTACGCAGGTCGCGCAGGCCGCGACGGGCGACGGGGGGCGACGCGCGGGTCCCCGTCGCCCGTCGCAGCGCCTCCCGGGAGCGACGCGCGGAGTGACGGGGCAGAAAGCCGCCGCGCGCCTCGGGGCGCACGGCGGGCAGAAAACCGCCGCGCGCCTCGGGGCGCACGGCGGGCAGAAAACCGCCGCACGCTCCGAGCGCGCGGTGGGATGAAAAATCCGTCGCACGCCACGGGGCGTGCAACACACAGAGTAGCAGTAGCAGCGGAAGCAGTGAGGTGGTGGGCCCACCCACAGGATCGACCCAGGAGGGTCGACCTGCTCTGATAGCATGACGAAACTAGCAGTAGAAAGTAAGAATGAAGAAAGGAGGGGTTGCACTAGCAGCAGTTGGCATACATATAGGAAACCCTAATTGGGTTGTACTCGCTATAGAGTACCCCACTGCAGGCTAGACAATTATAACATTCTGACAACATAAACGAAGGGCCGACCAATCCTCCGCAGAACTCTCCGCGTGCGGAATTTGCAGCCTCTGAAGGCCCCTTCGCATCTTTCCGCCCATAGCTGATGAAGGGCAATCGCAACCAGCGAGGCCTCAGGAAATGCTGACTGGGACCCCGCCTTGCCAAACAGCCACTCGCCAAGTGTGTCACTTTTCCTGCCCGTGTTGATCATCCTTAAGGCTTTTTTTACCGCCGAAACCACCCCCTGAATTTTCGGGCACTCCAGGAGACTGTGTTCCAGTGTCTCAAAACCCCCGCAGTGAGGGCAGACTGGTTTGCTGCTGAGAAATTCTAGTCTCTCCCCCACTTGCAGATTGAGGCAGTGTATTCGCAGTAGAACATCCCTCGGTCGACTAGGGGTAACAAGTAATTCGTGAATCTGAACTGCCTTTTTCCAATCAATGTTGCCACCCCACCGACTCGCCCATTTCTCCCGCTTGTTCTTTCCGCCGCTGCCGTGCTTCCAGTGTTTCCGGAGCGACCTCAGCGGGACTGCTTTCCCTTCCGCCAACAACTTCGCCCGGAGCTGTAGAGGGCCGCCTCTTCCCACCTCATACTCGTCTGCAAAGCTCATGTTCGGAAGTTCAGCCGAGATGAGCCGCTTCTTCCATGATTCTGGCGCAGCTGCAAAAGCCTTGAGCGCAAGGTTCGCTGAGTCCTTCCCCCGCAGCTCCCTCTCTAGGGTTTCAAGGCTTTTCAGCACCCCTTTCCCTTCTGCATCTCTCCCGACAAGATCACCAAGCCTGACGCCCAGAAGCCCTTTTGCCGCTTTCTGTCCTCCCACTGGCGTGGTTCCTTTCAGGAGGATATGTCTGTTAAACGTGATCCTCTCCAGCAGCAACTCCTTAACCTCGCGTTCTTCCGTGGTTACCGCTAGCGGGGACCGCATGAAATTTGCGCAAGCCAGCTTCCAACGCTGGCTTCTCCCCTCCCATGTTTTTAACAGCTTTTCATGCGCCATGAACTGTATCTGTCAGAGGTCCATTGGTGATCCCCGATTGATCCTAGGGAAGGGTTACAGGCTACTTGTCCTGGGGGGTTATGGGCGCACTGACCCGCTACTTAACAAGCCCTTTTATCCCAATGGTCTAGTGGTTGGGATTCTGACATGGTATCAGAGCAAAGGTCTCGGGTTCGAATCCCAGTGTGTGCACTTCGGGCATCCCAGTGCGGGGGGGTTGTCAGAGGTCCACTGGTGATCCCCGATTGATCCTAGGGAAGGGTTACAGGCTACTTGTCCTGGGGGGTTATGGGCGCACTGACCCGCTACTTAACAAGCCCTTTTATCCCAATGGTCTAGTGGTTGGGATTCTGACAGTATCGTACCGTCTTGAACTGTTATAAAAGTTCGAACTTTGGGAAGTTCGAAAAAAATCACACACGCCCTAATACTTCGAAGTTGAAGCTGATAGTTGGACCACGGCTTTAAACCAGGGCTATCGATTCAAGGGCATTTGCCCTTAATGCCTTGAACATTCCGGGTGAACTCCCAGCCAGCTTCGGCATTTCAAAGGGTTGATTTCGAGGGAAGCCCGTTTTTCTTACGGGCTGATTTTGAGAAATAGGGGTCTCAACCCGTATCCGTTAAGGGCTGGTTCGGGGCCTTTCCCTGATTTCCCGGATCAGGAGTAAAGTAGCCCTGAGAGATGCCCAAGTGCCACTCTTCTCCTCCCGCTCTCATCCTCCCTGAATCTCCCACAAGCTATCTACTTAGGCAAGAAATGACTTTCTTGTGTTGATGTTATGGCTGTAGTTGCAAAATATTTTCAAGTCAATTCGTCTCCTCACAGTTCCAAGTACTCACACTGGACTCGCGACACTGACACCCAACGTGGTGAAGAGGAAATTTGCCCCATCAGTTCACACTAGTAGTACTGCATGAAAAACGACCACCTCGGAAGTGCTTTGCGTTTGTACACACGAGTTTAAACGACTTCTTTGCTGACGATGTTTTTTTTTTTTCTACGATCCCCCTCCTCCCCTCCCCACCCCACTTCCCCCCTTGCTGTAGGTATGCAGATGTGTCGTCAGCATACTCCTTCCCGCTGCTAAGTAATAGGTTGACATCCGCCTTTGTGCCATTAGAGCTCACGTACATTTTTGTAGGAAGCCCGGATTTCAAGTATTGAATTTTACCTGCGCCCGTGATCGCTAAGGGCTAAAAAACGGTCACCTTCGTGAAAATCAGGGCCAAACTTCGAGCAGCTCAGGACTCAAAGTGTTGGGCCCAGTTCGGCAGACATTATGACCATTATGGCCATTATGGGCATTTTTAACGGGCCCCCAAAAAATGGCCCCTCGAAACAGCTGCGAAGTCAGACTGTAGCTGCAGTTTAACTTCGGAAGAATGGGCCCGACTGTTCGGTTGGCATTAAATGGGCCTGGATTAATGGCATCAACCCAAAATGACACTTCGCAGAAGCTCGCATGCAGCTGCGCTGATGGAGCCCAGAATCACTGTACTGGCAGCCCGGGCAGCCCTGCAAACCAGTGGTGGACGTCGAAAAAAATCGGGCAAGAGAATCTGTGCGTTCGATGCGTTAGTGATGGTGTGTTGGTGATGTGTGATTTTCCAGCTGGCAAGAAGAGGGGCATGAAAGACCCGGATTTGTTTTTTTCAGGGCAATGTGTGATTGCCCCGAATCACTGATACCCCGTGTGGTGCGGGCTCTCGAGGCCGCATGGTGCGGCGTATCAGAAAATGGACCATTTGCCTGAGAAATAGGGTTCAAGGAAGATTCCTCTGGTGGAAAATGCCAGCGTCAAAAGGGGTGTTCGGCTGGCATTCCATTATTGTCTGGTTCGGCGATGATCCGCTTATATCGAGCCTAGATAACCTTTCACGCGCTTATCAAAGAAGGTTCCAGGGTGGTCGGTTTACTGTAGCCCATACGGGGAAACCGTTTTTTTAATGCCTGCCGAACTGGGCCTTGGTCCCAGGGACTTCGACAGGCCTGCTTTAAACATCCCAAAGCATTTTCACGCGTGTACTGTGTCTTGACGATCAACTTTTTGGAACTCTGACAGCATTTTTTGTGCACGAGTTTTATTTGTGGAGGCGTTTCTCACTCCAGGGATAAGGGTACGCAGTGCTCGCATCCTTTCGGTAGCTTGTCTCGAGCAGATGCTTTGAAATTCCCTGGATCCGCCTCCACACGGAAGCGGGGAGCGCGGCGATGGGGGCGGGGAAGCACGCGGTGACGCAGGAGGCGTTCGACGCGCTGGTGCGGGAGGGCATGGACGAGTTCGACATGGCGCCGGAGGAGGCGGTGGAAGACGCCGTGCGTACCCTCACCATGCAGGGCGCTGACCTCGCAGGTGCGTACCCTCACCATGCAGGGCGCTGACCTCGCAGGTGCGTACCCTCACCATGCAGGGCGCTGACCTCGCAGGTGCGCCGGTGCTTCGCGCCTCCTCGCGGCTGCAATGGTGGGTGTGTGTTTTTTTGGGGGGCGAGGGGGGAGCATGGGCAGGCGGGCAGCGGCGAGTGCAGGGCGCGGTGAGGGCGCCGTTCAAAGCAGTACGCCCGTCGCGCTCCCAGGAACCACTACGCCATGCGCTGCTCCCCTGTCCCTTGTCTGATTCGCTCTGCAAGTCCTTGCACTGTGTGGATGGCTTGGCGGGGGAATGAGGAGGAAAGGACGACCCACTCGTGAGGTCGTCTTCCACCTCCCTCCCACGCGCTGTGCGGTCGTCTTCCACCTCCCTCCCACGCGCTGTGCGGTCGTCTTCCACCTCCCTCCCACGCGCTGTGCGGTCGTCTTCCACCTCCCTCCCACGCGCTGTGCGGTCGTCTTCCACCTCCCTCCCACGCGCTGTGCGGTCGTCTTCCACCTCCCTCCCACGCGCTGTGCGCAGCGCAGCTTATAGCAACGCTGGCAAACGGGAAAGTGATGTCCCCTTCCCCATGCGTCTCAACCCCGTGTGGGCAGGCATCGTGGCGGCGTACAGCGCGTCAGGGCAGCGCGCCCAGCACCCCGCAGCAGCGGCGGCCACACAGCTCGCAACGGCGCTGGCAGGCTGGAAGGAGAGACACGGAGGGGGCGAAGGTGAAGGTGCTTATAGCGGTGCTGACTTCCAGGTCAGTGTTTGGTGGGGGGAGGGAGCGGGGGGGGAGGGGAGGTATGCAGGGAGGTGGGTGGGTAAAGAACAGATTGGAGTGAACAGAGGGGTAAACTAGAGATTGCATGCCGAAATGCACACATCCTGCTGTCAAAACACGCTTGTGCCCTCATCGGTTCTGGGCAAAACTCTCCTGTACCGAATCCACACTTGGGGTTCGTCAGACTGATCGCTTTTAAATTCAATGATTGTTACCAGGCTCAGGTTCGAGTTGGTTAAAAGCTGCATTTATCAGCCCCTGAATTTGTGCAGCACTCATGCCTTGCAGTGTCGCGAGTAGGCACATATCCTTCTTTTAGCATCTGCGAAATCCCGAAGATGGGTCGAAGGAGATGTGCCAACACGAAATATTCTTACCGGGTTCATTCAGACCCTCGCCTAGCCCAATGTCGTGTGCGTGCAGAACAGGGCCAGTGTGTGTGCTGTGCTGCATCTAAGGGCGTCGGCAGCTTGCAGCCACCACCTTACGCTTCGCCCCTCGCCACCCCATCCCGTTGTTCTCCCAGGCAGTGCTGCACGCGTTGTCCACCCTCTCGCGCGCGCTCAGCCCCTCTGCGGGCGGCTGTCAGGGCGGGCAGGGGGAGCAGGAAGGCGCAGGGAGGGACAAAAGTGCAGCCGCAGCAGCAGCGGGTGGATCAGTGTCAGGGGAAGCAGCAGTGGTGGCGGGGCGGAACGAGGGATTGCCGGCTGCTGTGGGCGCGCTTGGGGTGGTGCTAGGGGCGGTGGAGAGGGGGGAGAAGGGGGGAGAGGGGGAGGAGGGCGAGGAGGGGGGCAGGAGGGTGGAGAGGGCGGTGTGTGACGCGCTCTCATGCACTGAGGCACTGCTCTCGCATGGTGAGACAGTGATGCATGACACATGCACCGTGCGCTCACCATGCCCCCACCATGCTCACACAATGCTCACACCATGCTCACACCATGCTCACACCATGCTCACACCATGCTCACACCATGCTCACACCATGCTCACACCAGGCTCACACCATGCTCACACCATGCTCACACCATGCTCACACCATGCTCACACCATGCTCACACCATGCTCACACCATGCTCACACCATGCTCACACCATGCTCACACCATGCTCACACCATGCTCACACCATATACACACCATGCTCACAACGAACTCCCATGCAGCACACCTACCTGCTGTATCTGCCTCAACTCACTCGTTCTGCACTCTTCTCCTTCTCAATGCCTTCCCGTTCACTCCTCTGCTTCTCCCTGATCTCACCCCTCCCTCGCCTCCCCTCACGGCAGTACCCGGGGCACGGGACCACTTGTTCCGCCTCGCAGGTCCGCCCCTCCTCGCCGCTGCCCTCCCGGTCGCGCCCTTCACCTCCGGCAGCCTCACGCGGGTGGCAGCAGCGGCCAGCGCGGTGCGGGCAGCGAGTGAGGGGAACGAGGGCGTGAAGGAGGCGCTCATGGACGCCGCGCTGCACGTCAACCTCCTCCACGCCATCAGCGCCATCGTGCAGTCCAAACAAAGTGCTGACGGGGACAGCAGCGTCGCTGACGTGGCAGAAGCAGGGAGCGCCATGTGTGCATGCTGTGGGGCGGTGAGGGCGCTGGTGACGAATGACGACGTGCGGGTGGCGGCATCAAAGACGTTCTCCAACGCGCGCGCCATGGCCGACGCGGGTGCCGTGGACGTGCTGCTGGGCGCCGCTGCTGCCTTCTCCTCCGACCCCGCCGTGCTGCCCGCCGTGCTGGGCGCACTCAAGGCCATCGCCGTCAACGTGCGTGCCGAGCCCCTCACTCACTCACTCGTGCCACCCACCATTCCTGCTCGCATGCCCCTGCTGCTGCTTCTGCCGCCAGTGGGGACGACGGCGATGGCAACGATGATAGCCCTCTACTCACACCACCACCACCACCACCACCACCACCACCTCCATTGCCCCATACCTTGCCCTCTCTTCCCCCTCTCACGCGCCACTGCATGTGCTCCCAGGAGGACATCTGTCGCAGCATCGCCGCTCTCGCCGGGGTGCCCCTCGTGCTCGCCCACCTGCGGGCTGCCCTCGCCTCGCACTGCTCGCCCCTCGCTGCCCCTTCCGCTGCACTGCTGGCGCAGGTGAGTGCTGGCGCAGGAGGTGGTATGGCAGTTGCAAGCCATCTGAAGTGCTTTGCACTAATCGTACATGATGCAATTTCCACTAGCATAAAACCCGGGGGTTTATGATTGTCAGAGAAGGTGTGATGCAGGGTTTAGGTGGTTCTAACGTATGCAAACCACCCTCTCTCGTGCACCTCTCATCACTTGCAAACTACCCTCTCATCTCTGGGATCGCACTCTCTTATCGCCAGCTGGCAGGCAGTGATGCCAACAAGGTGCTCATAGTGGAGACAGGTGGCATTCCCGTATTGGTGGAAGCAGTGAAGGCATTCGTGGACGATGGCGCTGTGCTGCAGGAGGTATGGGGTGTGCTGCAGGAGGTATGGGGTGCTGCAGGAGGTATGGGGTGCTGCAGGAGGTATGGGGTGCTGCAGGAGGTATTGGGGTGCTGCTGCCTATTTACCGTCATCTATGTGTGGCGAGCTTGAGCAGGAACGGAAGTGCTTGATGCAGAAGCGCCGGCAATTGAGTATTGAATCGCAAGGGACATTCCCAACACACTGTGCCTTGCTATCTCCCCGACACCATGTGCTCTGGCCTTGCCGCCTCCCTCCCCGCTCCCGTGCACTGCTCTCATGCTGTTGGATGGCTCGCCTTGCAATGCCATCACAGCTCGCCGTATTCTCCCCATGCTGTATGCTTCCACTCGCCATGCTGTATGCTTCCACTCGCCATGCTGTATGCTTCCACTCGCCATGCTGTATGCTTCCACTCGCCATGCTGTATGCTTCCACTCGCCATGCTGTATGCTTCCACTCGCCATGCTGTATGCTTCCACTCGCCATGCTGTATGCTTCCACTCGCCATGCTGTATGCTTCCACTCGCTTCCCCATGCTGTATGCTTCCACTCGCTTCCCCATGCTGTATGCTTCCACTCGCTTCCCCCTCCCCATCCCCACCTCTCCCACCTCATCTCCTCGCCTCCTTGCCTGCCCACCAGCCACGGCGTCGTTCAACCGTGCGTGTGTGGCAGCAGCCGTGGCGCCACTAGTGTTCGCCCCACCACTCACTTTCTTCCTCGTATCTCTCATCGCCCCCACCTCATCCCCTCTTCCCCCCACAGCTGCTGGCGTGCCTGGCAGCCGTGACGCTGCGCAGCCCGGCGCATGCAGCAGTGGCGGTGGGGGCGGGCGTGTTGGAGGTGGCAGTGGAGGCCATGGAGGGCCGGGGCGCCACGCCAGGCAGCCAGTGGCAGGCCTGCCAGCTGCTGCGCAACCTCGCTGTGCGCAACCCTGAACACCGGTGCGCCCCTCCCATGCTCCTCGCTGCCTTGCTCTGCCTTGTGCCACTCTGTCCCCCTGCTGGTATGCTTCTGCAGTCTCCCCTCTCCTGCTGCAGTAGGCCATATGCTGCTGAGTATCCTGTGACATGCATGCAACCTTGAGGATGAATACCGCCCCTTTTTCTCCCCTGCCGCCGGCCCAGGCCAATAATGGTGGAGATGGGACTGGAGGCCGTGATTCGCAACGTCAAGAGCAAACACAAGTCATGCCGTGACGTGTGCTCTGCTGCACTAAGAGACATGGGCCTAGATAACTACAATCAGTAGTGGTGTCACTGTAATACCATGCACATGTACTGAGATGATAAAAACATGCAAATACATTCGTATAAATAAGAGTAAAAGAGAATTCAAATGTCCTAGCTAGCCATGTACGGTACTTTAAAGCCAGGGTCTCATGTACGGCTTGGCCGTGCAACTGCAAAGCACTTGGGCGAAAAGTGGGTTCTTTGGAGAGTCTCGATTTGTCAAAACTTTGGCCCCAAAATTGTAAACCAATCAGAGAGGCCCGTTTTTCATCGACTGCAAAGCACTTGGTCTACTTGAGACCCAACTGTGCAGCGTGTACAGTTACGAAGCTGTTCCCGCCTTTTTCCTCGCTCCTGCAGCTGTCCGATGTCATCTGCTCTGACGGTCCAACCGTTCACGCCGCTTCGACCCTTCGTCTTCCGTACTCTCTTTTGTATTCCCCGTTCTTTGCTACTGGCAGGAATGCACAGTAATGCTTCTCAATTTACTATTCATAACACCCCCCTTCATTCCTCGCCGTTGGGCAGTAGGTCAGGTCCACCTTTCCCTTGTCCATTTCGTCCTTGACGAAGAAGTACCGCAACGGAATGTGTTTGGTGCGGTTGACGAATCCTGGTTTGTCGCAGTGCATGCGAAAGGTTCGTGAGGCTTAGATTTTTGCTTCTTGCAGGAGTTCCTGCAGGTAAAATCCTTCGCGAACTGCTGCTGTCGCGGCGATGAATTCAGCTTCAGCTTGTGACAGGGCAACCAGCTCCTGCTTCTGCGAGTTTTACGAGATTGGTCCTCTCGGTTCGAGGCGGAGCAGGAACCCAGTTCTGGACCGTCAATTGTTGGGGTCAGCTGCGTGATCATCGTCCACGTGGCCGATGAGATTGAAGGATGGGGTTGCCACTGTTGAGTAGCAGAGCTCGATGTTGGGCATGGAGATAAAGAACTGCAGGGTGCGCTGAAGATCTAGAAGTTTCTCAGCCGTCGGTTTGCGAGAGTACTGGGCGAGCTGACTCGCGATGTAGGAAAGGTCTAGCCTGCATGTTACTGAGGCAAAGAGCAGGCATCGCAGCTGTTGGTAAGTCCGAATTCCTGTAGGGGAGATGGCTTTGTTGTCAGGTTTGTGGTTCAGTCCGGGAGTGCGTTAAGGGTTGGAGAGTGGTGCAGGCGTGATGTTGAAGCGTTTGCCAAGTTCCTCTGCGTACTTGGCTGCCGAGAGGTGAATGGCTTCTAGCGCGTAGGAGATGTTAAGACCAAGGAACTGCTTCACATCGTGGTTGCATGTGATATCAAAGCGCACCACTAGGTTCTTTTCGAACAGTTCGAGCAACTCGTTGCTTGATCCTGTATAGAGCAAATCGTCTACGTAGACCGTGAGCAGGATTTAGTCGTCGCGGAAATCTCGGCGGTACATTCCTGAATTGTGGGGCAGTTCCTTGAAGCCTATCTCGAGCAGAATGTTGTGGCGGTACTGCTGCCAGAGCCTCGGCGCCTGCTTGATACCGTAGAGGGATTTTCACAGCTAGCACACACGTGAAATCCCCTTTCACCGTATGTGTGCGGCTGCTCCACGTAGATTACCGCATCCACCAACGCATAGAAAATTGCGTTCTTCATGTCGACTTGACAAAGTGGTAAGTGTCTTGCGGTGGCGATGGCGAGTAAGATTCTCACGGAGGTGTGACGTCTGACCGGCACAAATGTTTGGTTGAAGTTGATGCCGTGCCTCTGATCGTAGCCGCGTACGACCCAACGCGCCTTGAAGCGCTCGATCGTGCCGTCCGCTGCGGTCTTCACACGGGAGACCCATTTGCTGGAAAGGATTCTTCTCCATTTGACTGCCGCACGGTTGACGAGCACCCAAATGTCGCGAGATTCGAGCGCTTTAATTTCTGCATCCATTGCCTCGCGCCACTCCTTGCTGTGGGGTCCCGTGAGTGCTTGGCGCAAATTTTTGGGCTCGATGACACGTGACGTTGATGAGGTAGCGGCGTGAAGTCCTAGCAATGCAGCCTTGAGGCGGTGCTGTCGTGGCGATGCTGCGGAATAACCTCCTTCACGTTATCGTCCTCACTCCCTGGCTCAGGTGGTGGTGGCAACGCGTGATCTCTACCGCTTCCTCCTGCTCCGCTGACTCCTCCTGCTGATGGCACCTCGTCATCGTCGTCGGTGTTGTGGCGATCGACTCTCGTGTATTCACCGGTGCTGTTCTGTTCCAGGATGGCATAGCTGTGCCCGTCATTTGCGTAAATGCGATTTGCATTTGTCTGCTCGTCTTCGCGGAACCGTGCGAGGTTGAGCCGCTCGTAGAAAATGACGTCACCCGTGTTTTGTCAAGTTACGAAAGTTGTAAGAATGACCAAGGAATGACAAAACAAGAAAGATATAGGAAATGTAAACCCTAACCCAAGCATGAATGTAACACACCTAGACTAACACACATAAACTATAAACAAATATAGTTTGACACACCCCCATAGTCTAGGTGACGGTAGTCCTGTGGAAAGAAACACATATCTCACGGTGGTTCTCAAGAACACCACACAGCCGGAGAGAAGGAAAGGGTAACAGAAGAAGTCAGCAAGTACAAGCAAGGGTCACAAGACCAGTCCACAAAAACAAGGCAAATCTCAGAGTGGAGCTCAAAGCCACCACACACTCCGAGAGCAAGCAAAGGGCCACAAGGCCAGTCCACATGCAAGTAGATAAGAGATGCAAGAGTACAAGCCATGCATGACAAGCATCTCTACCAAAGCAAGAGGCCAAAAGGCCAGTCCACAAGTAGATATACATGATATATAGTGAGATGCAAGAGTAAAAGACAAAGCATCTCTACGCAAGCAAGTGAGGGCCTGTAGACACAAGGCCAAGCTGGGTGCAGAAACGCTGGTGGTCACGCCTTGGTGAAGATATCTGCAGTGTTGGCCTCAGAGACCGCACGTCGTACAAGTGCCTGACCACGCTGCTGCAACTCTCGCAGAAGGAAGTAACAAAGCTGGATGTGCTTTGCCTTTCCGACCAGTCAAGGCTCCTCGCACAACAGGATAGCTGACCTGTTGTCGGCGAACAAGACTGGGGGGGAGCGAGGCCGCTCACCAAGGTCGGTGAGGAGAAAAGATAGCGAGCAGAGCTCCTGTGCGGCCAGCGTACACCTCAGCCTCACGGCTGGAACTGGAGACGGCCGACGCATGAGTCGACCTCCACGAGACAGCTCCGGTCCCAAGGCGGAAGCAGTAACCCTGTGTAGACCGCAGCGACTCTGCGTCGTCGGCCCACGACGAGTCTGAGAAACCTGTAAGTGTAACTGGCTTCTGCCCTCCAAGGACAAATCCGATGACTGATGTACTCGCCACATACTTCGCCACCCACTTAGCCGCGTACCACTAGGAAGGTCGGTGTCTCCCAGGAGCAACAAAGCGCGCCAGGACGCTAAGAGGGTAAGCTAGGTCTGGGCGAGTACAGGTCATCAGGTAGATAAGATAACCCACCAACTCAGGAGATGGACCGCTGGACTCAAATGGCTCGTACAAAGGTGGAACCGTGAGCCTATGATCCACAGCAAGAGGAGTGAGCTGTACCTTGGAGAATGGGAAGCGGAACCGCGTGAGGATCTGCTCGACCATATGCGACTGCGTCAGCGTAATGGTGCGAGCTGCTCTGTCCTTGGTGATCTACAGTCCAAGGTAGCACTGCTGCTCAACAAGGTCAGTGCAAGTGTGTCTCTTTTGCAAGTGTGCCACTGCGCGTCTATAAGGAGTGGCAAAGACCAGGTCGTCATCGTAAACCAGAACAAAGAACGGGGTCGAGCCACGGCGGACGAGGAGTGACGGGTCTCCAGACGACGGAATGTAGTCAAGCGCTGAAAGAGTCGTGCCAAGTGTGTCGTGCCACTCACGAGGAGCCTGGCACAGGCTGTAAACTGGTCGACGCAGCTGCCACTGAGTCCCGGGAGGGAAAGAGTCGGTGAAGCCAGGCAGGCAACGCAGCCAGATCTGATTGGGCTGGCTCCCGTGAAGGAACGCTGTGGAGAAGTCCAAGGAGTGCAACTCGTAGTCGCGCTGAGCTGCGATATGCAGCAACACCCGAAGAGTGGTCATCTTCAGGGTGGGAGCGAAGGTCTGGAAGAAGTCAACCCCTTCGCGCTGATTGAAACCTCTTGCCACATAGCGCGCCTTGAACACCGGTGGTGATCCAGGCGACCGCTTCACCTTGTACAACCACATGCCAGTGACGACGTTCACCCCAAGAGGTGGGACATGTGGACGACGTTCAGCGTAGGTGCCTGTGGACCTGTCTGTGTGCCATCTCTTCCTCCTCAGTTGCTATCCAGTACGAAGCCCAGGGTACCGAGACCGCGTGAGTGCGAGGGATCGGGATGTCAAGGGCGTCTGGATCCCCCCCCATGGGCAAGCAGCATGGCGCAGAGATGAAGAACAGCGGCCGCGAAGAAACCAAGCTCAAACTGTCTGTCCTCTAGAACCTCCAGGGGAAAAATAGTAACACCCTCAGTGGACGGAGAACGAGAAGTGCTGCTCACCAAGTGAGAGGCGAAGTCAAGGCAGTGGGAAGAGGCAAAGCCAGCGATAGTGGTAATAAGAGCCAGGACCAACAACGGAGGGGGGGGGGGCACTCGAGCGGGTGACCAACGCGGACAAAACACGAGAGACGGAAGGACGACATGCACGGAGGTAGTCGGACAACGGGTCGGGAAACACAGTGAAGG